GTTTTTCGGTATTCTCATTGTATATTTTATCGTGGAGGACTGTACGTTTTTCTTTAGATTATCATCTTGGTACTTTGATCCCGTAGAATCATCGGAATCCAAAAACTTTTGTCTAACAACTTCAAGTCTATTTAGATCTCCTGCTTTACTATCGAAAACCTCTTTAACACTTCTTCGTTTTCGTTTTTGAGGCACTGCTTCTTGATAATATTCAGAATATTTAGAGTTCTCGTACTTATCATTAATTTGTCCGGAAGTGGCCTGCTCTACTAAAATCGAATCCTCGGAGCCAGCGTTCGAAGATTCCGAGTTTTTAAGATTATTGTTAGTAGTGCTAATTAAACTTGCATTTTTCGTCAAGTTGCCCAAACTCGTGCAATTCAGCAACGTATTTATGGCCTCTATATTGACGGTGTTGTTCAAGAATTTCAGTCGCTTAATCAAATCAGAATGTTTGTGATATGGATTTTCGTCCAACGACAACTGCTTCTCGACCTCGACTAGATTGCGCTTCTCTTTATTCTCGCCAACATGCTGCAGAAGAATCGTGATCTTCAAAGTCAACTTGTGTCGCGGTGTTATCGTACTTCTTCGGCTCTCCGTCGTGGTGGTGAAAAAATTGTCGATTGTTGTGATCTTTTCATCTTCTCGAGAGGAGATCGTCGTGGTGCTCGAGTATTGAGTTTCGATCTCTGTTGGTTCCGCAGACGACGGCTGAGTTTTCGTCGTTATTGTCGGAGGAATTGACGTGTCGAATGTTGATTGATCCTCGGTAATTTCTTCCTCAGAACACACCTCCGACTCGCAGGATTTAATCGTCGTCTTACTGCAATTTCCGGACTCACAGCCCTCTGAATTGCTGACGTACATGCAATCCTCGGAGTTCTCGCACGAATAATCAATCTCGCCGCTTGTCGTCGGTGACAGAGTCGTTGATTTGACCTCCGATGACGCAATAATTTTCATTTCAATCATCGTCTTTTTAATTTCACTACTTTCCTCAAGTGTCGCGGTTGTGCTTTCAATCGGAGTTGATGATTCAGATATTTTGCTCAAATCCTCGCCAGGTATTTCAGATCCTCTCGCGAATTCAATAAATGATGGTACTGCAGTTGTACCTTGCTCAGTACCAATTTCACTTGAACTTGTTTCATCTGAAGATGTAACGTAATCAGTTTTACCTAATTCTTCGCTTGTCGACTCAACAAAACTACTAACTTCTTCAGAGATCGATTCTTCCGTCACGCTGCGACTTGTCGTTATTCTTGTCTCAACATCCTTAGATGTTGTGATTTTATCTGTTGGTTGAGATGCACGAGTTTCCGAAGATTCTATTAATTCTGTCGTGGATGTAGGCGGAATTATCTCTTCAGTCGTTAAAATGGTTTCTGAGACACTCTCGCTCGAAAAAGGTTCCGTGATCATGAATTGAATATCCTCACTCGAAGGCTCTTTCTCCGTCGTTTTGCCATTATCAATCAAAGTTGAAACTTCTGGCACCTTCGTGCTCATCGACGGTGCTTCGCTCTTTGCAGTTGCTTCCGTCGTAATCGATAATTTAGTGGACAACTCCTTTGAAGACGGCGTGGTGAGTTCTTGAATAATGCATGCTGGATCTGACGAATTCTCCTCACAGTCTAACTTTTCAAAAGTGGTAATAGATGTTTCGGTCGTTGATTTTGCCTTTTCAGAGAATGACGTTGATGAACTGATCTCTTCTTCACTCTCTTCTTCACTTGTCGACTCCGTAATAACCTTTTCAGTCGTACTGATTTCATACTTCGTTGAAATACCGTCAGTTGTCGCGGTCACTTCGTGAGTGCTGCCTTCCGTGTTTTTACAAGATTCAACAATATTATCTGCGCTACCGTCTTTGACTTCCTCTCCTCTTTCCGTGCAGGATTCCTCCTCGGTCTTTGTCGCCGTTAACTTGGAACGCAACTTGGGACTGACTTTAATCTCCACTCGCTTCTTCGGATTTTTTGTGCCATCATTCCACTCTATAATGGTTTTAGTAATCACTGGACCGACGCCGCATTTCACTCTCTTGTGTTGCCAGACGACGATGTCGCCAACGTGACTGATCGAGGTGAAATTGACGACTCTACTAATCTTAGTGTCTTCATCTATGACCTCGAACAGACTTGTCTTACCAATATTGGAATCATTCGCCGACAATTCGCCCTCAAGCCTCTTGCACTCGAGATATCTGTCCGGTATAGTCGCCGAGTTTTCGAAGGAAATCGTGTACTCGCGAATCACCAGCCTATTCGGCGGTCGAACGGTCTTATTCTCCTTGATGGTCGTCGTTTCAATCCAGCATAGAGTGATATCTTCGCCCTCGTGAACGCTACTAGTTCTCTTTGCCTTGGAATTATTGCCGAATACGTTATCAAACTCCTTGTCGACGCTCAGATTGCTCGTTGTGTTTCCGACGAAGCTGCTCGTGTATCTCTGGTTCTTCTTTTTGTTGCTCGCGCAATTTGTCGACTGTTCTTCCTTGATGTCCTCTAATGACTGATATTCTGAGAGCGGTGTGGAATCTTCCTTCGAGAGCGTTAACTCGGGATGTTTATTGTAAGGTTTATGGAGACCCAGGATATTCACGTTTACGTTTTGATTATGATTCATGCTGTGCAAACAAAAATAAGAAGCTAAATAATTAACAATAATAGTGAAAATTAAATTTTGTATCAGTTTTATTTGCGTCGTTATTTTTCCTTATCTTCAGAATTATTTGAATTATATTTTACTCTACCGATTTATTTTACTAGTTACATATTTTACTTTATTAATTACATTTCAAATTACTAACACTCTGTCCTCCTGCGACCCATGACCATTTAAATTTCTAATCGTTTCATCGTTATCACTGTCAAAGCCCAATAGTACCGCCTGTCTCCTGGCGCGAGACTGTGCAGGAGTATCACTCCAATTATTTTCAGAACCTTTGTTTTTCTCTTTGAAAATATCCTGGATCTGAAGAATTTAATAAATGCAGAAAAAGTTAATGATAAGATTGAAAGAATTTAAAGAAAGTAATTTAAATGCATTATATAGACACATTATAGAAATAAAGATACAAATTTATATATATTACAATAGATTCTATTAATGCGCAAAGTTAATAGTATTTGTTTCTCGATCATAAATATTTAGAATTTACTCGGAAAATTTACCCATGTTGAACCGACAAATCCTATTGAAAACGTTGCAATTGCAATAAAGCATAATTACTAGTAAAAAATTTGAAGTATTGTTTCATGAAACATCTGAAAACTCAATAACAATAATATAAAAAAATGTAACTAAAATAAGCAAAAACATATTACAAAATAACAATAATTGTACGTATAATCGGTTTACATACTCGACTTGCAACTGATGAATAAGTGGCAAGTGGAATTGCATCGTTATGTTTAATCCAACAGCAGATCTATTTCAATCAAACAAATGTAATATTCAGTTTAAAGTTATTATTTGTAGCACAACTAAAATTATATTTTGATACTAACAATATGCATAACTGAAATATAAATAATCACGTACATAATTGGAATAGAAGCAAATAATTAATTTTACCAAAATATGTTTTATGAAGACACAATGTTTAATATGGCTTGAATTAATATAAATTATAATAGTGATTTAATTTTGAAAAATTCTAGTTTCACAATTAATTCAATTGATTCATGCAAAGTTAACGATATCTCAAGAGATAAATCAACAAAACGATCGCACAATGCGGCGGCGTAAAAATGAGAATGATTGAAGAATAAATTATATATTACGACACAAGATAAAAACAGCAATATCCGCCGAAAGCGATCAACGAATAATTTAATTGTTTTCTAACATTGCAACACTCGATGTATTTTATCGAAGTGATAAAAATTGGAAAAAAAATTTACTAAAAATATAATATTTTTTAACTAATCTTATTCTCTTTATATAGATATCTTTATCATTTTTAAAACCTTTTTTCCATATTTAAGATAATTTTGGTATGTATTTGATAAATTTAATATCTATGAATTTGTACTTGTATTTTATCATACTAACGTGCAATTATATTTAAATTAAATAAACATTATTTATTGTAAAATGTAAAAAAATATTTTCTGGTAATATTTCAAGTTCATATTAGTTTTTAAATATTTTGATTAAATAATATTAACAAAAGAATAACCTACCGCCAGAAAAAAGGGCAGGGTGTAAGGCGCGCGAATCAACATCGCCGCCAAAATGTTTCTGTCTCTTCTCTATTTGTTTCAGATCTCTCTTCTATCTTGTTTTAACTAGCAAACACAATCTCCACTCAATATCAGATTAAGACTCTTAATATTATTGGCAAAATTGCTAATCTTTCACTATACAAGTTAATCTACTTGATGACGTCAATAAGTTTTAATTAAATATTTTATTTTTAACTAAAAAATAATAGATTAGATAATAATTAAAAATAATTAACTAATTACAATTGAATCACGTTTTCAAAAGGATCAAACTGTTGTTTCTCGTTGATATTAATCACGACAATGATTGAGAATTTCGATGATGCACGTTGACGGCAACACTCGTCTAATGTTGAATTAAAGTCTGTTGGTCTCAAGTGCCAACTCGGCTGAACCTAGCACCTTCGGTAAATGCAAACCACCGCCCCCACCTACCATTAAATCCCTCCAACCCCGTTCTATATTAAATCCCAACATCTCGGTCTTCCGGACTTGTTATCAGCTACACTAACGTCGCGTTCATAGCCTTCTTGTTATTTTCTTCCTTATTGTCTCGACGATCGATCGATCAATCCATACAATGCATTTCGGCCGCCAACGCGATCCGAACAAGAATCATTCACTATCGTTGGAATAATTACTTTATCAAAAAACCTTATGAAACTAAGTGTTCTGTGTGTTCAAATTAATCGAATACTTCGTAGGATCTGTTAATAATTTTCGGATAACTGATTGAGTAAACCGCTGTATATAATTTTCTTAAATAGTATTAATAATAAATAAATATTTTTATATCTCTCATTCCTTTTTAATTTGAGCTTTATATTAAATTTATATATAAGACTGCAGTATTTTTTTATTAAAAGGTGTTTACAAATTTTTATTTTAAAGTCTTGAAAGATCTTGAAGAATCTTGGAGTTACGTTTATTTTCTTTTTTCTCTATACTCGGCTGTATCATTTTAATTTAACAAGCAGTCGATGATTGACCGTGAAACGTTTAATCTAAAAATTTTGTTCGTTACGCACGATAAAACTTTGTCGCTTTGTTCGTCTCTATAAGAAGAACATCTTGCTCACCATATCTATAATTTTAATGAATTGCAATTGTCTCGCGTCCTTGAATTATGATAATGCAAATACTCGCTTATAAAATAAAATTTATTTTTATTTTATATTTAACTATGTTCGTATAAAAATATTCAAGTCTTTTAGTCGATTTTCATAGATGACTTAGATTTTTATACAATAATATTATAACTATGCACAGACTGTTTTAGAAATTAATTATAAAATTTCTTTCTTAGAAATAAAATGATTGCATATAAAATTAATAAATTGCAATTGTCTCGCGTCCTTGAATTATGATAATGCAAATACTCGCTTATAAAATAAAATTTATTTTTATTTTATATTTTAACTATATTCGTATAAAAAATATTCAAGTCTTTTAGTCGATTTTCATAGATGACTTAGATTTTTATACAATAATATTATAACTATGCACAGACTGTTTTAGAAATTAATTATAAAATTTCTTTCTTAGAAATAAAATGATTGCATATATAAAATTAATAAATTTAAATCGGTATTTGTTAAATACTTTTGAATTTCTTATTCACTATTGTATGTAAAAACATTCTTTATCAAGTTTCTAACAAGAGCTAAATTATCGTAACACGTGAAACAATATTTTATTCAATACACACAACATAAATGATTCGGCTGAGAACTCTAATTAACGCGCAGAGGAAAATAAAAAGTCGCCCATGTTTTTCCAACGATTAATAACATTTACTCCCTTTTCTTCTCCCTTCTTTTCTTATGTTCTTACCAGCAATTCATTTGATATCGTTACACATACGTTACACGGCTTTGCGGCTACCTATTGTATATTGACGGAAGTAAAAATAGGTACACTGCTTTATATGCTCTTTTGTTTCTCTCTAGACGTTTTATCGCTACTGAGACCAAGATGAAATAATTTACCGTTCATCGCATGCACATGCTACAATTTTGAGACAATTTGAAATCAATGATTATTTTTAATTGCTTTTTTTAACAAATTTTTCCACAGAGAAAGTTTTAAACTTTGCTACGAAAAAGAAATTAAAATTAAAATTATTCTTATAATAAAAACACGTAAAAATAAAGCTTATTTGTTATTTCTCCATTTGATTCGCAAATAGTTTCAAGAATATGAATCTATTAAATAGCAATAATATTCTTATTTCTTTTTTTAAGAATATTTATTGATACCTTATTGATATTTAAGCATAATAAGAAAAGTAATATTGTTAATTCAATCTATCTTATGCATATGCGTTTTTAAAATCTAAATTATTTTTAATTGGTAATTGATGATTGATACTAACAAAGATTGCCACAAAATATAATTTGGGACACCAAAATATAATTTATTAACAAGTCGCCAATAGCTATAACAGTGTCAACAACCTGTATATTATGAATATGGTAATTCAACCGAATCGCGGTTGAATTAATTCGAAGAATTTAAGTGGCTAGCGTTGATCGTTAACCGCCTTCTCGATCGTTCTCATTTCGATTTGACGTAGCGTGTAAAGCGGAAGAGGAAAACCGATTGCGAGTGAAGAATAGAAAAAAGAAAATGGAAAGATCGCGTGCGAGCGCAAAATCGTAAACGCTGTTGCGCAAAGTGTTAGCCGAACACTGAAATGGCAAATCGGAGATCGCATACGTTTTGATGTGCGCGATTGTTTGGAATTGCAAAGTGCAATTTTCGCGTCTGCCGTTTATAACTTCGGTAATCACTTCGCACCTCATTGTTAGCAATGACCTGTGTTCAACCTATTAACATTATATTATACAATATGCAAATATTATACGACACTTTCGTCCTTCTATGATTCTTATACTCGCTTTATAGATTCATTCTGAAATATTTCAAACTCTAACCATATATTTTTGATGCACAGCATTTGCAAGCAGATTTTCGTCACATGTCGTGACTGTATGAATGTGCGCTTCCTGCAATTTATAATACATAGCTAATGCACTGTTGCTTCATATTTAATGATATTATCTCAATGTTTTAAATTTTAAGTTGTATTTTTTATTAATTTGATATTTTTCAGGCTAAATTGCGCGCGTATAGCGCCGATCGAACATTAATATCTATATATGTTGATATCCAAAAGTGTTGCATAATATGTACAAAAATTATGCCATATTATGTCGCAAATTATTGCAAAAAAACTCTGTGTGGTAAAAGACAGACTGTCTTACACACTGCGTACACTGCGTGCACGTGAATGTGTGGCTATATTTATATGCGATTGCAACCTTGAGCCAAAATCTTCTTGGGTAATATGGGCGGTGAAAGGTTTTCCTCATATAGCGGAATTTCTACAGAATCGAGTGCAGTTCGAAATGGTATCCGTTACCGTGAATAACAATTTTACGTGCGCGAGATAAAACATATAAAAATATATCAAATATATATATTTAATTAATATTTGTTCATCGCATATAAGATTTATTAATTTGTGATAATGTACTTAAGTTATTTTTATAAAATGTAAAAAAGAATAAAAAGGTCTTAGAATAAAAACAACTCCTAATAACATTATTTTTACTGCTCTCTCGCTTAAATAATAAATAAAAAATGTGGTTTATAATAATTTGTCTGACAATATTCATAATAAAAATCGTGCACGACTGGCAACGACCAAGAAAGTTTCCGCCAGGTAAATAAAATTACATCTTTCTTATCTTCCTTAAAAATTATGTGAAAGTTAAAAGCATTTGGTTTTTTGTTACACAATATTTACGAAACATTTTATTCGAGGACCTCGCGGCCTGCCGATCGTGGGAAATATATTGGACTTGAAACGTCTGGTCGACAAGATGAAATTTTATAGTCATGCTTGGTGTCATTTAGCCGACATTTACGGATCCATCGTCGGCTTAAAGCTCGGCATATCTGAGCCGCTGATCATCGTTTCCGGTAGGGATGCTGTGATCGAAATGATGAGTCGACCTGAGTTCGACGGTAGGCCTAATGGATTCATACATAGACATCGAACAGGGGGTAAGCGAAGAGGTGTGATATTTACCGATGGCGATATCTGGCGAGATCAAAAAAGGTCTGTATATGTTTATCATACTAAATTTTTTAAATAAATAATGTTTTTATGATTATTACATTACTACATTTTACTATCAATATAAAAGAAGTAATAATTCTTATTTTTAACAGTCTTAATATTTTTAAGAGTTTCTAAAATGTTACATTAAACTTAATATTTTAAGTTAGAAGATTAAAAAGTGTTTGTAAATTTTATCTTTGAAATGCTCTTACATTATTCTTAACGCATAAAAAAAAACTAAACAAATTAAACTAAATTATAACTTATTGTAAGTTCAGATTTATTCTGAAAACATTAAAAGAATTTGGATATGGAAAAATTGCGATGGAGGATATAATATTAAACGACGCCGTTTCCTTAACGAGCATAATAGAATCGTCGGCTAAATCTGGACCCCTTACGAATTTATACGATATCACCTCAATAGCTGTTCTCAACAGTTTATGGACATTAGTCGCTGGAACAAGGTATAATATAAAAATTGCATACAATATTATGTGCAATTAATTTTATTAAAAATAACATTTAAACGTATTATTTATAGATTTGACTTAGAGAAAAAAAATTCGAAATTAATGGAAATTTTATCAATAATAAATGATATTGTCAGAAACATTAATGTCACTGGAGGCATATTGACTCATTTACCTTTTTTGAGACATATTAGCCCAGGATTGACTGGATTTACCGCACTAAATCAAAGACAAATACGAGTGTTCCAATTCTTTAAGGTAATACTACATGTTTGCTTTAACAATGTAATTTCTATGGATACATAATGTCTTGTTGCAGAACGAAGTAACGAAACACAAAGCTGAAACACACGGAGAACTCAGAAACTTTATTGACGTTTATCTAGCGGAAATAAAGAAACAATCAAATTCAACTGTATCGTATTTTGATGGTAATGTTTTTTAAGAATAATTAAAAAAATTTTTTTTAATTCTTATATAAGAAAAACACAAACTCAAATATTTATTAGATTTTCTGCGTATTATAGATTTTTGTCTTATAACGCATAAAAATGTGTAATTTTATAAAAGAAAATATATTATATATAAGTGGCTTATTTTAATAATCTTTTAATAAACTGTTTTATAAAATCATTAAACTCATATACATTCTGGTTAAAGTTTCGAAAATTGAACCGCGCAAATAATTACGAAATATTTTTGTTCCAGAGGAACAATTAATTAGCGTCGTGAAAGACCTCTTTACTGCCGGTGTAGAAACGACGAATAACACAATTGGCTTCATAATTACGTATCTTGTAGTGAAACAAGATGTACAAAGAAAGGTACATGAGGAAATTGATAGAGTGCTAGGCAAGGAAGTCTTACCTCGCATCGCGGACAAAAATCGGTACACACGAATTTGACAATATTGCTCACGGTATCATTTATAACAAGTTTACAGAAAACCGCAAATTTTCAGACTGCCATATTTAAATGCAACAATAGCGGAAGTGTCAAGACTAGCAAATGTGGGTCCCACCTCAGTCGCTCATCGAGCAACGACTGACACTGTTTTACTGGGTTATGAAATAAAAAAAAATTATACTCTGTTGGCTAACTTAAGAAGCGTCCATTTGGACGAGAAACATTGGGGTGATCCTAAAAAGTTTCGACCTGAAAGATTTATTAACGACAAAGGAGAATATGTTGAAGATCCATGGTTAATGCAGTTTGGCTTTGGTAAAAAAAATGTATATTTTATACGTAATGTACAGAGTGTTTCATAATATTCGTGCCAATGCTCGTGTGCGGGTAGAGCGCGGTAAACTGGCGCGGAAAAGAAAAGTTTTTATGCAATTTTCGCAATAATAATTGAAATATTAATTAACCCTTTCACTTCTACTGGAACAAATTTGTCCCGCGATATGTTGAAATATTCTACTGGAACATATATGAGACGAGTTGCCATTTGAACAATTAGTATCAGTAGATTCTAAAAATTTAGATAAATTCAGTATTCAGTTTATTTTTGAAGTATATTATATTTTTAAATTGCAAAAATAGTTTTTTGCAATTTAAAACGCAATGCAAAACGCGCTACCATTCGTCAATCCTTTTTAACAGTTCAATTAGTACTGCGAAAATTGCAAAACGGTAAAAGACGTTTCTGTTCAGTTTACCGCGCTCTACCTGTACACGAGCGTTGACGCAAATATTATTTAACACCATGTATAAATAAAAAAGAATATAATATTAATAATTTAACAGGTCGTAGAAAGTGTTTGGGCGAGACCTTGGCGAAAAACAATATATTTCTGTTCACTGCGTGTCTGCTACAGAAATTTCAGTTTGTGTTGCCGCCAAAACATTCTAATCCTGAATTAGATGGTATTGATGGCTTTACGATCGCGCCACCTGATATAAGTATTATTGCTGTCAAAAGAGCATAACTGCTTCGTTGTTGTATAAGCGACATACAAAATAATGTTATATTTGTACAATAATAACATTGACAAAAAGATAATCATAATCTTATAATTATCTTTCTCTCTCTCTTTCTCTCATCTCTCTCTCTCAAATAAAATAGAATTCGATAAGTTTTCAGAAAAATTGTAAAAATTAGTCATCATATCTTTACAATGGCGATGACCTTTATTTCGTTTTTAAATACAAGTTTCTGTCTCAAGTAATATTATAATAGAAGATTCTATTTACACTTGATATACAATTAACACACTTTCTATTCACAAGAAATGCTTACAAGAAATCTCTTTCTACGTCTCCATGATATCCATGGGAACGTTGATAGATTTTCGTCATTGGTCACAAATTGTACGTTTGGCATTATTTCACACACAAAAAATAAACAAATTAAATAATCCATAAACTGTTTTCTTTAGCACATCGCTGTTATATCAAACGTGATAAATAATGGAAGACAACAGAGTCTATAAAAATCTTATTGATAAATTAATATTGCCTTTGCAACAGCATAATTAATTAATGTCGCTTTTATAATTTAATATTTTAAATCATAAAGTAAATTGATCACGCGCGCATGCTGAAACACTTTTTCAGAGATTATTGGCCTCGAGAAGACGATTAGTTGATCCAAAATTTAAAGTTTCGAACATTTTTTCGCAGTAAAGAAAATATATATATTCGTATATACAATCAGAAAATACGTGACTGACATAGACATCAGTTTCGGTTCATATATTAACATAATATGAAAGAATGTGTACTTTCTATGCCAGATTAATGTTCGTAAAGTTGAAACAAAGTGTCCTTTATAGGCGGACACATTATGATAGATGTGTAGAATCATTGTACGACATGATAGAAATAGATGAATTCTATTTACACTAAGAACTTGGAGATTCGTATGGTCCACATAGATGTGATTCTTTTCTAAAAGCGATAATATCGAAAGTGTATATGATCCAACAATGAGTATCAACTAACAAGTCTAAATGACAATTTTATGATCACGAGGTTCGGTACAAACATTTACAAGTATTAATAAATTTATACAATCAACAACCAATAACACTAGCAAAAACCATTAGTCAAAGTGCAATTAGTGCAATATAAAAATTAATAAATTAACATAACAAAATAATAGAAAATGAATATGACAACAAATCACAAAATTAATTTGCATAAACACAAATATAAATATAAATAACTCGTAAACACAAAATTATTTCTTTTCGATGTTAATACCAAACCACGACGCAAAGAGAGTGATCTCATATATATTTATGTGATTGTTAACCATTAACTATCTTATGGAATAAACATCAACGGATTCAGAACTTGAACTGCGTCAAAATTCACACGAGTCTAACAATAAGTTCGAGTCCAGTTAAATCTCGAAAAAACGCGATACAATATCTCAAAAATCTTTGCTATTATTTACATTTCGTATAGGAGAGCCATTGACAATATCTGATCCGCACATCAAGATCATTCACAGCCTTGTAATCAGCTTCATTGTCGTTTCAAATTGTTCAGAAAAAATTAAATCTAAAACCTGTCACGGTGCCGAGAGACATCAATGTTTCGAAAAAATTTACGTGAGGAAATTTACGGCAAGAATATAACGCACCACAGAAATTATATATGATAGTATATAATTCTGAATAGCTATATTGTACATATTAAGAAACAGAAATAACTTGATGCAGTGATTTAATTTGTTAACACGCTATAAAATATTCATAAACGGGAAAGGGAAGTTCCATGAATAAATTATGCATATTTCGTAGTTATAAATAATACAATTTCCTAAACAGCACGTAAATTTCTTGGAAACATTATCAGAATCACGTTACAAAGTTAGAGAGACTTCGGATATCTCAAAAGTTACAGCTTTGCGTCTTCAACTGCGCAAAAGGCCGATAAAACGACAAAAGATCGTCGCTAAATTATATCAATTTTCTGCACACTTTACGAAATGATTCTATTTCTAGGCATTTGCAGTTATTAGATCAAATTGTTTCGAGACTAAATAACATCCCGCCTACGCGAACCTCAAGACGATAGTGCCAGACCCAATCGTGCAAAAACCATTTCCTTTCTTAGCCGTGTGATTTCCCAATAAACGTCATGAACTGCAACAAAATTCAATACAGATATTACTGACCCTCAAGAAATATAAAACTTGTCAACAAAAATATTAAACATAAGAATCAAAAATTTTGTAGATTTTTAAATGTAAATATAAAAAGATCGTAAAATATGAGAAAAATACGTGAATAATTTCAATTTTATATTTCTATTATTATTAAATTTCGAAAATTACGTATAGTTCTATAATAAATTGTTCAATTGTATTTTCTAATAAATTTAATAAAAGAAACTTACCTGAACTTTTAACGAGACCACGTTCGACATATCTCAGATAATTAAGAAAATCACACACCGCTATAATCTGCAAGAAAACATATAATCCTTTATACAACGGAATTTATCATAGATCATCTAAAGATGTATTGTAATTAATTATTACAACTTACTCGATTGCGACAGATCTGTGAGATGCAATACCATTGGTTGTCCTGATCACCAAGTCGCATACGATAATGACATTGCCGTGGAGCCTCTAGCAGCGCACATTTCCTGAAATCAAAACATTATGTATTTACAATATTGCAATTTTGCTGTAAAATATTTCTGCAATTTTTTTTCAATTTTTCTGTATCGCACAGATAATATTGAGAATTTTTAAGTAGCACTTGCAAACATACTTGGGAAAAGAAAGTTTCGTTTTATCGCTGACCGCTTCGATGAAAATGATGCCATCTAAAACGGCTTGTCTGACCTTGGCTCCCAATTCCTTATTTGGAAAATCCAGGCAGAGATCAATATCCTCTTTAAATACTCGTGCAACAAAGGCGTCGCTCTTATCGACGCAAGGATTTGCCTTCCACCTGAGAAACTCCGTGTGCACCCTCGGATCGACTTCCAGACCAAAGTCTTTGCACTCCTTTTCCTTTTCTTTCTCGCGATCCCGCTTCCAATCTTTCTCGAGGGTCTCCTTGTCAATCGGCAAAGGCGGCCGTTGTTCTTTCACCGGCGATTCAGGCGGCGAGTTCTCTCGACCATATTTTAAATTGAAATGCGACGGCGATCTACATCAGAATTACAAATCGCCCATAAACGTGTTATCAATTTACATTTTAAAAATAAATGACTCGCGAAAATAAAGAATTAATAAACAGTTTTTAAATTGTGTCTAAAATATAATAATAAAACATTAATAACTTTTAGTAATCCCATAATTTTTATAAATGTTTTCTATAATTTGTAACTATTCTTTAAAAATATCATATTTTATAATCGATAATATATGTATTAAATTCTTTCTTTAATCTTTTAATTAATTACATTACGTAAGAATATTTTTTTCAAAATTATTGCAAGACAGTAATGTAAATCAGATATCGTAAAATTTTTATATTTAAAACATTTGTCGCAGCAATACTAAAAATATCGTAAGTCTCGAATAAAAATTTACCTTCGATGCTTCTTCATGAAGAGTCCCTGCTGACTTTCCTCTCCATTACCAACGCGACCCTTTGTGTCAATTTGAGGATGCAAATGGGGATTCGGCCTCGATGGTGTGGATGTGAGCACCAGAGTTTTCAATGCTGCTACTTCGGCTGCGAGTACTTCTGATTTCATGCGGCTTTCCTCTAAAAGACGCTCCGCTGTCGCCTGGCGTACATTAGCTTCTCGAACCATATTATGTGCCTCCTAAACGAGTATTTCATACATCATTAAACACCGTAGCTTATTTGAAATACTTCTTCAATAATGCGCTCTTTTTTATTAAACCGTTGACGACTTCCAAAAGTTTAAACAAATCATATAATAAAATTGTGAAGTTTTATAAGTGTTATATATTTTATTTTTATTTGAATTATTTATTTTTAATACACGGAAAAAAAGTAGTGTCAAATCAAAGCTTATATACTCAAATTAACGCGTTCATTGTTTCATATATACGCAACAATTTATAATCTTCCGATAAAAATTTAATAATCTTAAATTTTAACAATATTATAGTCTTATTTCCATTTTATAATGGAATACTTGAAGAATACAATATAATTATTTTGACAATAAAACATCTTCCTTTTATTTGAAAAATATGTTATTTTCTATCCAACATTTTTTCTTTTCCACTGAAGAAAATCATTCTTAAATAATAAGAATATTATTCTTAAATAATAAGAATATTTTTTTCGTGGTTGAACTATATAAAATGACTTTATTCAAGCCAGTTTTCTTCGTTTAAAGCAATATAATCTCATTTCAAGATTTTCATGTTAAAAATAAAGATATTTTTAAAATAAGAATATCTTTTTTTTCCGTGTATGTATGTTTATTTTTAGAATAAGTATAAAACCAGCGACTAACTTGAAAGAGGCTGGCAGTGAGTTCTTCGAGTTCGGTTTCTACATCCTGTCTGATGCGCGAGAGTCTGGCTACCTCCTCATCCTTCAATTTCAATTCTTCGTGAGCTCTTTTAAGCTCGTCTTGCAATTTCGCAACCGCGTGTTCTTTCACCTCGGCCACTGCTCTTCCCCATTGTAGAGTGGTAGGCGATGGTGGGCCGCTAATCTTTTTAGGAACGCACAACAACTCTTGCTTCGGTGACGCTTCCGGCTGAAATAATTTAATTATTAAAAAAATTAATTTAATTCTTTATTTATAATGCATAAAATTTTATCAATTTCTCTTTTGACTCTTTTATAATGATCGAAGCCTGATAAAATAAAAACTAGAATTACCTGTGTATCTTTAGAAAGGGAAGACCTCCTCGACGGTTCGTGGAAGTCGTCTTTTTTCGTTGATTCCGCATCAATTTTCTCGTTCTTTGCTTTTGTCATTGATTCAGCTTCACTCAACCGAAAATCCAAGGGTCTCGTAGCTTGAGATTCCAAGACTTCCAGCTCATGAGATTTCAACTTATCGCTAGGCTCTGCCGACTTCTTTTCTTCCGATGGATTTCGATGTCTCGATAAGACACCCTGTAGCTTTTCGTTGTACGTAAATAGTGGAGTTGTTTTGGTTGAGCTGGAACTGAAATATAAATTGTACAATAATTTTTTCTCTTATATATTCGATATAAAATTAAATTAATTAGCTTTGCTGTCAACAGTCATTCGATATTATCGCAAAAGATAGAAAAATCTTGCTGAGTACTTAAAATTATATGAACACATGAATTTGCTGTGGAAGCAAAACAGTTTGTCCCCAGCAACGCATTTTGCTTTGATAGCAAAAGAAGCAATTTGTCATTATAATGAAATAATTTGCAAAATAACAAAATAATTTTTAACAAATCACATCAATATCCTTAATATATCTATTTGCTGTCTACATAATAATTGATAAAAAAAAGTCTCTTTACGTAAATTATACCAGCAAATTTATTTTTTCGTGTGCACATATTTCGATACAAAAAGTAGAAAAAGTCAATGTTTAGACGCACCTATCACCTAGGAACTTGTTGTCATCCTCGTCGAATAGACTAGTAGGTTCTTCGTCCTCATCTTCACGCTTTGTGGCGTATCCGAAGAGATCCGTCGCTGCTCTCGCGAGATCGGATTTGAGAATAGGATGAGGCGGATGTAGCGTCGCACCGATCGAGCAATCAGCTTCGTCCGTGTACAGCTCATCCTCATCCGTGGTGTATTCCTCGTCGCCGGTGGTTCCGGTGCTTCCGGCCCTTCTATGTTTTGTCGTAAGCGGTCGGTAGGCGTACTCGTTCGAGGCGGAAACCGACTCGTTAGATTCCATTGACTCCGGCTGCTGTTGCTCCTGGACCTCCTTCATGGTGTTTTGCTGTGGCCGGATGGAGCCTTCAAGCTTTCTGAAACATTTGACACCTCAATTCACTTTGCGAATAACTCGTAAACATGTTTTCTCAAATTTTCTTCCACAATATTATTCTATTCTTTATAGTCTCATCCTCTCTAAAAGTACTAAAAGTACATTTATAAACATTAATATTATAAATTATTAAACAGCGAATATGACTTCGCTACTTAAATATTTAAAAAAAAAAAATTACAATCAAAATATATAAAAACAACAGTTGTTTAAATTTAAAAGTAAAAAATTAAAGTACCGAAATATAAATTTTATTTTAAATAATTAGTTATATTCTTGCTAAATGTTTATTACATTTGTAAAGTAAATTTTTATTCAGTTATTCTCATGTTTAACTATATATGATATGCAATTCCGACACTTAGTATTAACACGAAAAACTCGTGGAAACCTTTATCGCGCGAAACGCGAAAATTTCACATTTTATAAATAACTCACAAATTCCATGCATGCTGTGCGTGAACATCGACGTGAATACGCGTTGACTGTTGCTCATTATGTAAGTGCATTTCAGGAAATTTAAGTTTATTAACACTCTGACCACGTCGAATAAGTCATGTCAAATTTAAGCCTATTAACACTCTAACGACGTGGAATAAACCAATTATTTGCCATGGTCGATCGCAATAAATTTCCATGCAAAGATTCAGTTTCAATGACTATTTAAATATTTTATTCGCTTCACAATTTTATAAAAATTCAGTACAACGAGTATTAATAGCAGTGAACAGTTAATTCTTTCAATTGTACGTATATCTATTAAATCAAGTTAAATACAGAATACTGTATGGAAATACAGAAATAGAGAATATTGTACATAAATACAACATATCAATTTAATTTTTGTGAAATTACTTTGCGTAACACTGCTTCATTTAATTGCACTGTAATATCCATTAACTATTTTAATGCTTGCAGGTACAATTTGAGGTAATGGAAAAGAACGAATACTGTCGTGCTGCACGTACATCTTTACGTCATCGTGCCCTATCATGTACAACATAAATACTTAGAGGAAGATATATCCACACGCGTTCTCCTCACGAACGTCAAATCAAGAACAATTAGGAGCTCAAGTTCCCATTGTAGATTGTTATTACAATTTGTCTCAAGTAGGACAATCATCAGGAATGTACGTGACACTAATTCCATCGTCAAAGTATTTGATTCGTTAAATGCAATTTCAATTTCAAATACACCGACGAAGACAATGTTTTTAAAACAAAATTTTAAAACAATGTTTTTAATGAAAACGGGTGGGCGAGTAAGAGTCTATTTGAAATTTAAATACGTACATTTCCAAACGTCATTTCGAAACGTTAATATAATTCAGAATATTATGGAAACAAATGCGTGTCTTATCGCAAACTCACAATCAGCTGCGAACGAGATATTACATTAATAAAGATAAAACAGGCAATACGCGTACAAAAACTCTCGCGTGTATACCGAGAAAGTCCTGGGAAAAACCCCGTAACCTTCACTGCAAATAAAGCGTAAATTATTATTACTAAAGAATGGCAATCATTTTTAATCATAAATCTCTCATCATAATCATAATTTAATCATGCAGTGTCACTTTATATTTACTGCAATTCTCAATAGGCGACAAACAATATTTTTAATTAACTTTTACGACTTTAATTATATTTTTAATGATCCAACTGCAATTGTATATATCTTTTAATATAAAATGCGAACGTGCGGAAGCTTCCGGTTCAAACGGTATGAAAAGTATGCGGAAGCATATGTTGCAACTCGATTGGCATACATTCATTCAATTGCTTTAATTGCTGTTAAAAATCTATAATTTTTTAAAGTCTTTCGGTGAATTCAAAAATTATTTTATTGTTAACATTTTATTTTTTGTTGCACAATATTTTTTTTACTTAAAATTATTACAAAACATTATTACAATTATTACAAAACAAAACGTACGTGGAAGAATTATACATGATTTCAATGCGGTATTGTTTATTTTTTTTTTTTTTTTTTACGTGATTTGCATAACAGACAATATATAATTTTTGCAATCACAGTCACGAGAAATAAGATTAATGATTTGTTCGAACTTCAAGAATATCGGATGGATTGTTTCCACATATTCTCACGAAGTAGCTCTTTAACAATGTAACAGTCGGTGCCACGGAATCTACGAAGATGATTTCCTTTGGGGCTATATAAGGGACGCGCGGGAATTGCGTCACGGTTAAATCGTGATCGCGCGCGAGAAGGCGGTGAATGGTACAGCCGGGTACACGTTACGTTTATGCGAACATTTCTTGCTGACATATTATCACAAACCACGTGATGATAAGTCAAGTACTATTTTCTATTTTTGTTGCTAAAAAGATTCAAAATAGTTTAATTGTTCGTAAAAGATAACCACTTTTATTTTTGTAAGATTTAAAATTAATTTTTATTAATAAAAACATCGAAAAACCGTTTTTCGAGTCCGTTTATATAATTAAACCGTTTACAAAATCATTGAAATTAAAGTTGCTCACAAATTTTACGAATAAAAATAAACAATATCTCGTTATTTAGTTCGATAAATTATTTTAAAACATTTTTTAAGATACAATCTTTAATGGAGATAAGATTGTATCTTATCTCCATTAAATTAGTAAAATACATTAAATTATTTTTCGTCAATTTAGTAACAAAATAGCATAACATACAGATATGAAATTCAGTATGATTAGTATCGTTTCGTACCAACAAAGGTTGGTAGTCCCGCGTTTAATTATCAGTTATCACGGAGATTAAGGGATGCGATTAACATTCAAAACATTGCGTTTCCTGTAAAAAAATACCACGATAAAATTCCCTGGGTATAAAGCCCTGGCCTTACGCTCTCTCACGCTTCGCGTGTGCTAGTTACGCGCTACGGGGTTCAAATTGACGGTATCTCGACAGTGTGGGTGCGTTCCTATCACTCGGCTGTGTGCGTTAACACACATTTACAAACATGTAAGCCGCGTGCGACCGTGTACCAATCGCAGAGAGCGTTCTACGAACAGTGTACCACGACGACAGATGACGGCGAAAGATACAAGTGTGTCCAGCATTGCTTTCATTCCTCCACCGAATATGAACGAAGGAATGTCTTTTCTCTCGACATGAGATCATCGACGCCTTCAAAATGCCGGAATAAGAACGCACAAAGTGAAAATTAAAGCTATCGATATATGTAGCTTAACTAAATTCAAATTTAGATGCAAGAAATCTCGAAAACTTATTTTTACATTTATTTATAAACAAAAGTGACAATTGGCTTGAATTCAGTTTTTTTTCTAATTCTGATCACTAAAATTACCAGTGTGAATCGTCAGCGAGAAATCTTCGAGAAATGTGTCAGAGTTTTCGAATAAACTCCACGTGCAAGCAAAGTCAAAATACCAGATATAGATTTTCTTTACGCACTTTGTTCGTCAAGAAATGTAAACAGATCTTTATCAGAGTCTTTATCCAGTTTTTCACTCCTAATACATAATATTTTATTCATGAGATAAATCCCTGTATTCTTTGAATAAATATACTCGCTCTCTATTTCCGTCAATAACGTGAGAAAAGAAAACTTATAATATAAGCCTGTGCATGAATAAGTTATCTGTCTTTGGTGAAACCGAGTAGTAGACCGTGATCTAAATACATGATTTAAATCGATAAAGTGCAGTGAAATTTAGTTTAGCGACTAAACTAAATATTAATACTGAGTTCAAGACTGCCGAGTAGCTAAATGTTAGCTGTGTTAACAAGTTGACAGCAAATTTGATTAAATCTCATCAAATTTGCTATCAATCTACTTACAATGTTAACATTTGACTATGCGGGACCGAAACGCAAAAGCTGTTAACTCGGGCAACTAAAATTTGCGCATATTTGTCAGTCAATTGATGAATCAAGGTTTAGTGGTGCAGTACTAAAGTGCTTAATTAAATACTCCCGCCTTGAACGTTAGACTAGCGAGTAGAATTCACTCACATGACCTACATACAACAAAGGTGTAATTTAATTTTCCGCTCACTGCTATAATCATGTCTGTAAGCAGTTTATTAATGGACTTCGTGCTATGTTCATAACGTTAGTACGTATTATTTATTGCTAGAGACTATATATGTTATTATTTACTTTTACAATAATTAAAAGATATTTGCTGATATTACGAGATCCGGTTTGGATTTTCCGTCTAATAACTATTTGCAAAAATTAAAATTCAAAAGCATCAAACATAAAAATAAAAATATGCATAAACAAAGTCTAACAAATTCTTATTTTTATAACGGCATTCTAATAAAAGAACTGTGATAATAACCGAGGTTGATAAAAGACAGTGCATACAGGCGTGTAAAAAATTTTAAACGCAAAATACAAATCGAAGCATATCATTTTGCACACTGCTGTACAATTTGACACCTTGCATTGTTAACTGCGCCATACGTTTCTTCTTTTCGTTGTATCGACTAATTATCGTACTTTGATTATGAGGAATGTGTTACTCCGCTAATCAAAAAAATCGACGCATCTCGATAAAATAATTCTGGGTTCGTGACATTTGGCTTTACAAAATATTAATATGCAACATTTAAAACATTTTTTTAAATAAATCGTTCTTGTACTGTGATATTGTCATCATTTCTTTATCTATTCATCGACAAAGTACAGTTTGCTTTGAGGTGCGTCGGTTTTTACGAGAAGTCGTACATTTGTAATCTTCAGCATTAAGTGCCGAAGTACACAATCGTGCCTGCAAATAACGTAGAGAGCCGGATCTTTATTTATGTCTGTATTTTATGCAATATATTCACCAGTGACGCATATCGTATGTAACGTCATTATTTCACTTTTTCGATGTATACGCGACTCATTCGTTGTGTCATAGACAAAGGTGATAATTTACGCGTACGTAACGTTATGGAAGGTTTTTTGTTTGTAATTACATGTCACACATTGCAGTGCGGAAGCTGCAATATAGGA